ATGGTTACTCTCAAGAAATGGAAAGTTTACAATGGAGAAATTTAAATCATCACACTTTGACCTTAAGTTACATGGTACGCTTCTACACTTCTGCTGTTGGTAAAAGTTACTTTCCACATAAAGATATGAACTATGAAGAATGAAATCACTTGTTCCTATTTATATAAACCTGAGACTTTTTTTAGACTGGCTAACAATTCTCTTAAGCTTGTTTCTAAGGTTGAATGAGAAATGCAGAAAATCGCCCACTCTTCATAGACTTCCTTATAACTACTTCACATTGACAGTAAACAAAGGGATACACAAAGATTCTCCATTATGTACTGTAGATGTACTTAACTTAACGACATCATCACTATTTGGTAAATTAGCGCAATGGTAAATTTCCAGTAATAATTGCCGTACATAAAAACATCCAGAATGGCAATTACTACAACCATAAACCATATGTAATTGCATGGGTCATACTTTCAATGTGAAAAGCACTAAAATAAAATTACCACTAAAAAAGTAAACATCTACAGTAAATGATGGGGCACTATTGATTGACCCAAATTCCAGTGTATATATGTACATGTCTATGGTACATGTTAGATTCATCAGCCTTGAGAAGTTCAATTCTCATTTACATACACACAATGATTCATCATACCTGAAATGAGTTATCATATTATATTCAAATCCAAATTTAAAATAAGTTTAGATAGATTTTGCGTTAAGGTTTACGACATCTTAATTCAGTATTTTCTAAGCCTCTACAGGATACCTAACTCCAGGCCTTATATATACATATTTATAACACACAACATACGCAGCAAGATCTGCATATATTCAAATTTTCTACTGTACTTTTTAAATCTGGGATAAATAATTAGAACTCTTGAAAACAAAGGACCAACTGATATTTAATGACAGATTTGATTATGAGTCAGTATCTTCAAAGTCCTCGCAGTTGTTTTGAGGAGAATCGCTCATTGTCTGTCTGAGTGTTATACACTGAAGTGTTCAAGTATGCTACAATAAAGGGAAGTTCTATTTTTGCTGAAAGTTTTGAGAAACGTACATATTTTGTGTATGTAAGTATACAGATCATAAATTACAACAGTGACTCACATAAGATGAAAAAAAAAGAAGGTTGAACTTCCTGCCTTAATTCTAATCTATCTTTTGCTTAAAGGACCAAACTTCAGAAATTGATACTGTCTTCTTTATAGTGTAAAACTAAAAACACAAAAAAAAAACCCACATTTCTATCTCCTTTTCCAAGAATCAATAATTGACATGTTAAAAACGAATTCTAAAAATGTCCCTTTGCAGAAAACCATTTTTACTAAAACTCTGAAAATTCATTCATCATCTGTTATTCCTACAAAGTTTACCAATCACATTCAAAGTTTAGCTTAACCTCCATTCACAGAAAGTAAATACTGAAATTGATCAGATAACTTAATTAACTTCTTTTCTTTTTACCAAAAAACAATAAGCATTACTGCCGATGTAACGACAATGAAATCAATATTGTACATATACCAGAGATATTTGTTCAGGGGGCAGAAACCACACAATCTATATATAGCCCTGCCATGTACATTCTCTTTACAGTCAAACCTGCCACAAAGGTCACCTATATACCTGTCTATAAAGGCCATTGGCATCAGGTCCAAATGTGGCATTAGCTATTGAACCTGTCTAGAAAGACCACCTGTATATAATGTTCATTGGATTTGGGTCCAAATACAACAGAATTCCTTGTAATAGAACCCTTATATAAGATAACCTGTCTATAAAGGTCACTTTTCTCTGCTCCTCTGTGTGGACTTTATACACAGGTTTGTGAATATTTTAAAATCCAAATACTTTGAACATGTTATAATCTTACACTGCTTTAAGGGTTTCTGCAGCTGTCAAAATTCCATAAAGCATCAAATGCCATAGTTGATAATTAACAATTCATTAATCATATCATGTCACGTTCAAAAAGAGGCACATTCCTCCCTGCTAAATATATACAGTGCCTCTAAAATGATGAATTCCACCAGTGTCGGTGAAGTAGGTACAAGCACTTATATCAATATGAATCTTACACTGTTTTGTCTTTCATGTATACTGCTGTATATTATCATATACATAGTGCCACACAACCCCTCGCATTATATAGTACAATTGTAGTAATACACATCACACTCTACATATATATTGGCACTGACTACAAAAACTTGGGAGAAAGTCACTGTAGCTAGACCAGTATCAGATCTAGGACGATCCTGATCATGTGATATGGTAACAACAGGACTGCACCTGTTGACCCCTGAGGCTGAGAACAACAAGCCTGATATGATATTTGATAAATTTCTGTAGATAATCTTACATAACCAGTACATATCACCGAGACACGACATACAGATCTTAGATAGAATTAAAAACAAATGTCTAAGCTACCTCTAAATATAGTGTAGCCTCCATTGATATTTATGTATAAATATCTCTGACTCGATTAAATTATTTATTCACCTTAGTTACTGTACAAATATTTATCAAGTATATCGAGAGTCAAAATAAATATCATACTGAATATAATATGTACATGTAGGTGAGTTTAATCTGTAGATATAAAGGTATATGTTAAAATATTGGACAAGATCCAAGGAAGTGAACAAAAACAAACATGCATACAAAATGGCACCTATGCAATTTGTAAGTCTATCATGTTAACATAGAACAATTTTACGATCAAATTTAGGAAAGTCATAGCACTGATTTAACCGCAATTATTTTTTTTTTTACTTCCACAGGAAATTGTGTTGTGTACTGTTACACTAGATTTTGACAAATTATGTATAATGAAACACTTCCAGAAAAATTTCATTATCAACGAGTTATTTTCTGACAATTTTTATGGGGCTGATTATACATAATTATATCATGAGATCCATTTCCAATGTTAATCTAATCTATTAGTATGAATTATTTTAAAAAAACTTGATGTTTACTACTGAAAATGTTTAATTTTCCTGCATAAAAAAAGGTGAAAAGGCAAACTGAAAAAAAAAAAAAAATTGAACAAACAAACCCTGCAGCAGTAGAAACTGTATGCTACGTAAATAGCATTTATCTACACAAGGACCTGGAGTAATTACCTGCAGATATTGTATAATGTACATGATTTAAATCAAAACTGATAAATCATCTTCATATTCCACTAGGACTTTAATTGAACATCCTGAAGGATAAACAGACAAGGCTATAGCTGTACAATATTCCTTGTTTATCACACGCTGACATAGGTGGACAGATCAGTTGATATTTCACCTATATATAAAACCATCTAAATCCTGGCATCAACAGCACTGTATATATTCATTACTACACAATACATACAAACTTCATAAATTAAATCAGGATTTCTTAGCTTGTGCAAACAAATTAACAGGTATATGATGTGTCATTTTAAACTAAACATTATCAAGTCCTCAGGAAAATTCTGAGTCAGTAATGTAATGGGACAATTTCTGGATTTTCAGAAGGTCCCTAAAGCAGATGGGATTTTCTTGATAATAAACAGCACATCAAGAGAATTTCAACAAGATTTTAAGCAAAAGCATAACTCTGTAAATTGTGACTGAATCAATTTCATTGTCCAACTCATCCTCCATCTTTATTATCGATAAACAGCTGCATATCAATTTTCAGTATAATCTGTTCTTATTTACCCAAGTTGTTATGTTCACAAAGTCCAAAGGTAAAAGGGCCATAACTCTTTAAATTACAACTGACTTAGTCCAAATATTAACTTCTTTACAGATCTTATTGATATAATGCTGCATACCAAAATTCATCAAAATCTGGTCCTATTTACTCAAAGTGTAATATTCACCAGGACAACGGTAATAAAAATTCAACCTTTATTGTAAAATAGCTGCTGGATGAAGCCAGAAAGTAAGGTCTGACAAAGATGAAGGCACTAGAATTATCAAACAAATGTTTGACAAAAGATGTGAAAATCAAAGATCAAATTTTGTAATAATACAAATGAAAAGAGTATATATATATATATATGTGTGTGTCTTGAGAGTGACCATGTAATAGATTTATCAAAGTTTGGTACGAGTTACCGATCTATAACCATTATATATAACTGATTGTGACTGTCCTCTTATGAAAACGACACATCTACTACAAGTATAGTGACTTAATTATCATCAACAATGCTTTGCTGGTGTAATTGTTTTAGTCATAAAAAAAAATCACATAATCTTGAATGCATCCCTTACACTATCAATCATCTAAAGACAATTTATCCCAGAAACTGACCAAGGATAAGTTATCTTCACACATTTGGCAGCTACAGTAATAGATAAAATTTCGAGGCATTATCATCCAGATTTTATTCTATTCTTTCTTGTTAACAGAATTTCACACAAAACTCAGCTAAAAATTACAGATTGTGAAAATTTAAAAAACCTGTATGTTATATTCAACCTTATTAAACCTTTTCTAATTGGTGTGATTTAGAAAATCTCATTTTCTATGGAATGCCTGTTTAGACCATCCAATTTTTGCCATAGTTCACAAGTGCTCATGATCTGTTGCAATCTAGATGTTATTCATCATGAAAAGATCAGATCTGTATCCTGTATGAAGCTGCATTATGTCAATTATCAAAATCATTAAGCAAAAGAGTTCATCAAAAGAATCCCTGTCTGTTCCATATCTGTTAGCGGCAATGAAGTCGGTTGTCCATAGAACATACACCCCAGTGTATCCCTATTTCATTGCTGCAGTACTAGTGGTCAATTATTACTTAAAACTTGATACAAAGATACCAATACCCATTACAAAAACATTTAATTCCACTGCGCGCGGCTCAGTGACGTTTACAATCAACATAGGACACATCAAAATTTACCCGACATCGAATTAATACACTTTAAAAACAAAGATGTTTTCACACACACATAACAAGTAATATGCTACTCTGGTGAAAAAGATTGAAAACTTACCCATCTCTTCCTTTACTGATGATTTTCACCTCAAAGTAGTATATTCCACATGAGGCTGGTATAGGGTGAATTGCCCGTACACTAGCAGCATCCTTGTGTGTCTTTCCAATACCTGCACAAAAGCATGCATTGAAATTTTATAAAGATTTAAATACACATTTAAAATTCACACTTATTTTCTTTTCAGTTTGGAATGAGCTCAAGGTTCTAGCTCTTTGGCTTATTTTGTTTGGAAAATCAGCCGACTATTTATAAAAAAAACTAACATTTTTGAATTTTCAATTATCTTAAATAGTATCTTTACCCCAAGAAGTTCATAGATTAGCTTTGTTACAATCATGTAGATACCAAATTATTACAGCTGTACCAATTCTGAGATTTCAGAACAAAAGACTTTGAAACTACTTAAAATGATGAAATCTTAATCAGCACTTGTTTATATCACAACCAATTAAATTAAGCATCACTTCATATTAAGGGTTTATGATTTTTATGAGCTTTGATACACATGTAATCTGATTACATACATATACATAATATGTATTACTAAATAAATAGAGTTGCGTTTTTTAGTGATAATCTCAAAATAGGTCATGGTCTCTAACATATTGAGATCATTACTGAAAGCAGTTTGTAAATACAAAAAGAAAAGTTCCTCCTTAGAAATAGTGATGAACATCTGTGATAACAAACAATATCACAAGGCAGATTGATAAGTTAAATGAACAAGGCGATTTCTAAATATTTTAGGGAACACAAATGCATATACAATTATTCACATATTTTTACATACTGAATCACTAATGCAATTTCCTCTGTACTTATGACTCAGAAAATACCCCACTCCTTAAATCGTAACTCTCAACAAATAAACTCGGGTCAGTCCTAAAATGGACACAGGCCACGGACAGTGACCGCTACAGCGATTCCGTTTTATTTAATGTGTATCGGATCAGCTGATTCGTTCGTGTGCTGGTCTCGAAGTATGTCACGTCAAATGTTCTAAAAATAAACCCAAAACAAAGGCGCAACTTCTCTTATGCTTGGAAAAAATAGCACGTAGAGACGTTGAGATTTAAAATACGAACCTTTACGGAAAACAATGACAATATATAAGTTTTTCCCTCAATACTCAGTAAAAGTTACAAAATTATTTCAAGCTGATATGAGAAGATTACAGGAATAAAGTACCCAGGCTGATACACAAGAACTTTCGCAATGTTTAGAGTAAACATCTACCTTTGTAATGGACTCGGAGGTTGTTTTGTGACAACCCTATGTAGTTATATCGATCCTTCTGACTCCACGATCTAGGGAGAGGGTATTCTTCTTCGTTTACCGCCGGGTATAGCAATTTTAGGCGATCCGTGGAATCTTGAGGTCCTAAATTCAGCGACTCAGTCGAACTGGAGCCACAAGTCGCTGCCATTTTCCCTGTGCAATGACAGGTACCCGGATGTTGGCTAGAAGTAATTGTTAGAGTAGTGATGATTGGCCACATAAGAAAACTATCAACGAATCGAAAGGAAGTTAAGAAAATGAATGCAAATATATTAATGTGATAAATAGGTCAAATACCTTAATCGAACTTTTAAAAAAATCGTATGCTTTCCCGTTTGAGTGAAAAAAAAGTTATTTCATCTACACTTGGATGTATAAGTGCACGATCCGGATCGACATGGTCTTATTTTGTTCGGATGCTGTAGTTATAAATTTCCTTATTCATTTCATTAGTATGATTGCATACAAATCAACATGCCCTGTTGTGTTTTTGCCCCTTCTTTACTGTGCGTATTTGTCAGAAACCTTAATAAGATAATTTTTAAGGCTCTGATTAGAAAAGCGTTTTTTAGGTTACTAGACTGGTTGTTAGTATTCTGATTTGCTGGTTAGTCTGTTTAAACCTTTAGAATTATATTACTTTTTTCATCTCAATTTTTCAAATCGACAAACTACAGGAACACATTATCTCTTGTCAACTACGCTCAAATTCAAGTATTACGAAAGGGTGAACAGCGCACATGTCATATACTATGTTCTGTCCTGACTGTGCACAGATATTGCAGAAATACATTGATATCTCTTGAGAGTAATCGCTTTTATCCATAAAAATTCTATTTAAGTGTAACTTTGATAAAAGAAAAACCACCCCCCTCCAAAAAAAAGCAAAAAAAAAACAAAACAAAACAAAAACAAAAAAAAAAAAAACAAAACACACACACACACACAAAAACCCCAACCAAAACAATAAAAAAAACATACCATTAAACCATTTTTGTTTATTCGAAAAACGAAAATACAGAATGAACAACAAATTCAAGCAGTTACGTATAACATAGAAATTTAAAATAGGGCCGAAATTGTACACGACCGCGTCAATTTCCATAATAATTGCTATTCCTCCATGTGGTAAACAACTTCTGATTCAAACAAGATTATATTTCGTTGACTTTCGTAGAATCAATAATTACAACACTGTGTACGATGGCTACAATAATTAGGTACTCATTTAATTACAGTAACGTAAATATTCGTTGACTTGCTTCAACACTGTTTCTATCCAATTAATCATTTTGTTTTAATCACGGGGGTACATACAAAATATTGTTATAGTCAGGTGCTCCTTAGTTAGAAGACAGATATGTAAAACTTACTATTTCTTTCTTTTTTCAACTTGATACATACCAGTTGGTCTCTAACTCCCGACCATTCCTCCAGCACTCCCTCGCCACGCCCCTCCTCATCTCTACCCCCTCCCCTCCCCCCCCCCCTCTCTCTCTCTCTCTCTCTCTCTCTCTCTCTCTCTCTCTCTGTTGTGTTTAGTTTATAGACTTATTTATTTATCTCCCCAGGGTACCGATCTGTGACTAAGTACGACATTTTTCACGCAGTTAATTATATAATGATGTAAAAGCAAATCAGTAGGCATCGATATTGCCAGACTCACTGGGTTTGTGACTGTTATACATATCTACCTGTCTCTACGGGAAGAAAAGGAACGTACATCCAGGAGGGTCGCCACACTCTCACGCAACTAGCATGTATTTATGGAAATGACGTTACCTGTGTTCACATGCACAGAGTTTGAAGTATAGTCTGTATCTGATAACATGTATTTATGGAAATGACGTTACCTGAGTTTACATGCACAGAGTTTGAAGTATAGTCTGTATCTGATAACATGTATTTATTAAAATGACGTTACCTGAGTTCACATGCACAGAGTTTGAAGTGTGTATCTTACTAGCATGTCTTTGTGGAAATGACGTTGCCTGACTTTACATGCACAGAATTTGAAGTGTGTGTCTTACTAACATGTCTTTGTGGAAATGACTTTACCTGAGTTTAAATTTACAGTTTGAGGTACAGTCTGTTTCTTATAACAAGGACTTAGATAAAGGACCATTTTTCAGTCGGTGCTTATAATGTAGAATTTTGTAACTGTCATTATGTCAGCGATAAGTACAGCCGAAACTCATTATGTCGAAATTTAAAGGACAGAGGAAAATATTTCGACTTATCCGTATATCGACTCAAACGAAGTGTGTGATTAAGGTTGACGATATCAGTTTCATGGCGTTGATTACGGCTGAACGATACGAGAAGTAATCTGATATTTGAAATGGCAGGCTACGATTGGTTATCCATCCAAATAACAAACCATATAATAACAACTCCAACCAATTGAGCACGCATACAGCGTAGTTTAATCTGATATTTGAAATGGCATTAGATCATTTTAGTAAAATACAATGTATATAAACTTTATTTATTTTACAACAATTGCGAAACAAGTTATGTCAACTTATATTAATCACTCTTGTTGGCCCGGAAGTAAGCGCGTGAGGGGTCTTATTGTGGGAGGAAACAGGAGTACCCGGGGAAAACCCATGTGGTCGAGCAGATGACCCCCCTACCTTTTCACGTCCGTTCCATGAATCGAACCCCGGTCGGCTAGGTGAAAGGCGAGTGCGTTACCACTGCGCCACCCGACCACCACAATGTATATGCCGGGTACCGTATACTGATGAAACTATGATATATCATATCAGCTGAAATGTAGTAATTTAAAATCAAACCTTACATTCAAATGCTCACAAGTATACGATTTCATAATTGAAATTTGAAAACCTAAACATTCTGTTAACTCTTTCTTTGTGAATTAATTGTTTACGTCACAATGGAAATATTCATTTTGTTGTTGTAATGAGAAAGTATTATGGTAAATAATGGTAATATCGTTTAATATATTGATGGTTTGATATCTTATGAAACCATGGCTGAGATTTTGAACCTTATGGTGTCTTACATTTTACCAAGTTGATATGATTTTCATTCTTGTTCAAATCGCCAATATTGTTAATAGTTGCTTTACGTCCTATTAACACGCAGGGTCATTTAGCACGTGCCAGGTTCCGGAATTCCCGGAGAAAATCCATCAGCTTGCGTTGCCAGTAACTGGCGACTGTCCAACGTGCATATCGAATCTCCAACCCCGAGAGAGAGAGGGCTGGTGATAAAGACGGAAAGACGCCATTTTTTTCTTGAAATGAATAATTTATTATTTATTCCCATGAAATACCTAAGTACTCGGTATATGACTGGGCAACATAAGCCCCTCAGAGGGCAGAGAGCAATTCACATCGGTTATAGGGCGGAGCAATATAGATCGTCACAGCAATACACACCTGTTATAGGGTAGGACGAAGTGTGTGGTTCGAACCTAGATCCGATAACGAAGTTCTAGGACATTGGAGAGACGTTTTGTTTATTTCTACATCTATTTTGTATGAGTTTGATCATTACCCGAAGATTTCTGATTGATTGCCTGTCTCTAATTTTGCAATTGTGCACAGAATTTCACCTCTACTTCTTTGGAAAGCATTCGGTGGGCCTTCCTTGTTCATTGACGTAACACCTTCTACTGCAAAGAGACCTGCCTCAAAACGACACTGGTTGTTCAATGAGAGATAAACCACACAAAATACATATAAGCAAAGAAATGTTCCTCGTCATTAATCTTGAGATCATACAGATTTGATCTCAGACACGAGACATTCAGAGTGGGCTATAATTCTCGAAACTCCCTCCCTCTCTCCCCCCCTCTCTCTCTCTCTCCCTCTCCCTCCCTCTCTCTCCCTCTCTCTCTCTCCCTCTCTTTCACTCTCTCTCTCTCTCTCCCCCTCTCTCTCTCTCTCTCTCTCTCTCTCTCTCTCTCTCTCTCTCTCTCTCTCTCTCTCTCAATCGAGCCAAGAATATGTGATTCTTGTACTCTATAAATGCGGCCCTTTATGCTCGTGTTTGGAAAACAAAGAGACTAACGAAAACTCTTTGTTATATTGTAGTCTTTTCCCGGAGTTTGAGTCACAAGACAGCCGGCATCCATATTGTACCAATCTCAATGGTTTCGCGGATGTTGTTGGATATTAAGGAGATACAAGTCTTCTGAAACAAAATCGTTTCGGTGAATTTAAAAAATTTATATCAAAAGAAGTCTAACTCTGATTAATGGATTAAACTTTTTTCATATTTTAATAGAATTTAGCTTGCATTTAAACACAATTACCAATTCATTTCAAATTCCAAAGTGTATTTGTCCCTGTTCGAGTGTGTGTTTTACCAGAATGTATGTGACCTCCTTCTACTGTGAGAACAACGGACCCAAGTATTACAATTTATAGTTATCGAGCATTGCAGCTTTTTTCCTGGTCGCTAGAAAGCCGTTACTTGTGTAATCTAGGGTAGTTGTAGACCGTGGTTTAACATTACTGAAAGTAGTCTTGCCTTAGCTTTCTATTTCATAATGAAAACTCTATTTCTCTTACATTTGAATTAAGACCAACTTTCTGGGCGCTTTGGACTACAGGTAAGTGCTTTTTCGCTGTAGTACATTACATATATGACAGTGTTCTCGTAGGACTATTAAATTATGGTTTATCTGAGGGGCTTGGGCAGTTGAAGTCCTGTTTCCGAAATTTCTTGCGCTAAATCACATTTGTCTCTTAAGTTGCCTATTTCATTTTCAGACTGATTTGATGCAGGAACATCCTGCAATTTCAGGGTTATATCGAAAGAAAATTAAGTATTCGTAAAATAATCGGTGAGGGTTCTGAGGGCCGCTTAAAGCCCCAGGCCTTCAGTGGGGTCCTTGTTAAAGGCCTGGTATATATTTTGTCCTCACCCCCAACTCAGAGATTTTTCTCAAGTGATTTAATGTCATATTACGACTAGTTTTGAATGGGATCGCACCAAAGTGCTGACAGTTATTGCCCTGTCATAGTATTTTCTCACTGTTTAACTGTCTTGCCGCCATCCATTATCTCTGATATTGATTTTAAATGTTTGTAATTTTTTTAATTCATGGGTTCGCTCCTGTAATTAGTTTTGAAATGGCAAAATATGCTTGATAAAACGGTTCTCGATGGGCTG